ACACAGAAGGTGCTGTAGACACAGAAGGTACTGTAATCACAATGGTTACTGCAAACACAGAAGGTGCTGTAGACACAGAAGGTACTGTAATCACAATGGTTACTGCAAACACAGAAGGTGCTGTAGACACAGAAGGTACTGTAATCACAATGGTTACTGCAAACACAGAAGGTACTGTAGACATAGAAGGTACTGTAATCACAATGGTTACTGCAAACACAGAAAATGCTGTAAATGCAGAAAATGCTGCAATCACTGAAGTGCTGAGGGCCTATAAACCATACGATTTATGCACGCCACCTTGTCTTGAGCACCCCGACCATAGGTATATATACTATATACGCTACTGTGGCCAGAACTTTATCCAAGTTATGCATTATCTTGGCCATGGTAGAATCCACTTTACGTGCCGCTAGAGAAGAAAGAATTTCAAGAGACAAACACGCCAAATACAGAGGTTCCGCCCAAGTGTCGATCGAACATTTGGACTTCCCGCACCCATGCCGCCACATAGATATAAATGTTATCGGACAATTGATAAGAAATTTTGAAGGTGAAGGTTGCATCAAAGACACCAATCGGATTCCTGCCATTATCAACGATTCAATTCTCTATGCAGGGCTGAACAAACTGGAAACAAGCGCCGAGTCTTTTAAGGCTATCTCGAATAGCGCACCACCGCGGCTTCATCTAGAACGTGGTGTAAAAGTGGAATGCCTCCACGGACAACACAGAGTTCTCGCTGCAAAAAAGTTTCTGGACCCATCGGAGAGATGGTGGATTGTTGACTTCTACGGCAGTGGTCAGTATATTGAATACGCACCAAGCTCCACGCTAACCAGTACAAGATCTCGAAGCAGATACTAAGCAGGCCCTTCGAGAGGGTGAGTCTTACTCAGAGCCATACGCATCCGGCGAGATATTCCGTAACTATCGGCTTTGCTGCTACAATAAGGATGACTTGGGTGCGCAGCGTTGGCAGAAGAAACTCAAGTCCTATCAGGAAGCGTATTTCGAAACGATTCTAAAACGGGAGATCCTTATCAAAGCTTTGGACTCTGTCTTGAATATTAGTGGGCTATGGAGAGGCTTTTACGCAGGATCGTTGAATGATTTTATTAGTCTGGGTTGCGATGAGGTGAGTGGTGTAGACACGAGTTGGAACGGCGTTAATTTTGTAACAGGAAATTGCGCGTTATATTAGGGCCATCAAGACCGAGCTTACGCGTATCTTTAGGGATAACATGGCAACAATGATGGCAACCGATCCTTTGAGCATCGAATCCATCCAGTCAAGAGCTCCTGCCCTCTCGAAGACAGACTTTGAATTCATTGATGAGCGTATGGGGTCAGGGGAGTTATTTCCGGCAGTAACAGACCCCGTCGAAAGAGAAAATATTAAGAAGGGCATCCTTTCAACTGAGGTTCCTATACCAACTCTGTGGACACTAATCTGCGATGTCAGATACCTCAAGAAACCGGCAAGAGTCCTGAATGCTTTATTGCCCCCCCGAAAAGAGAAAAAGAAGATAAAGAATAGCCTGTACGAGAGGTTTCGAGACTCATTCTCTATGACGGAATTGGGCAGTAATAATTTTGAGATACAACAGAGTACGCTTTCTTTTAAGTCCATCTCAGGAAGTCTTGAAGATTGTTTCGACGCTGGATATCAACAGTTGTGGCTCTGCGCGTGCCGGGTCTGGAAGTCCGGCAACGCATACGGCCTGATCCAGCTAGCGACACTTGCAGATCGGCTGGGATTCTCAACAACACAAATTGAACGCGAGCTCGCCAAGGATCCGGGTCGAATAATTATTGAAAAGGCACTTCAAGAGGCACACTATGTCCTGCATCCGGGTGAGAAGTTCAGCTTCGATTACAATCAGGCCAGGCCACTTATCAGCTTATTCAACGAGCAAATGAACAACACGCTAGCATCTTATCCGGTGGCAACGTATCCATTTATTACAGTTGCTGGGCCTGGCGAGCCACTGTCGCGCAGATGCGGCCATAGCTCCATGGACACGGAGGACCTCGGTTATCTCTTCCTCGACAAGATACACGCTCCTCTTCAATATTACCATCGATCTGGGGACGGAATTAGCTCCTTTTATGTCAAGCGATCGCGACACATAGCATTTTTCGGTGCATTGATCCTCGACGATACCCCTCAAAATGGACTAACTCCCGTGCCGTTGGTCAATCCACAACAGCAACATATGAACGTGTCACTTTCTTCATATGCACGCTCATCCCGATACTCTGACGAAATATCTTTAATTCAAGCGCAAGCCGAGACCACCCCTACCGAAGAGGTAGCGACATTCATGGAGGATGACGTGAATATTCAACAGGTGCCGTACGAGATGGAGTCAATCAACAAACAGGCCCAGAAATATGCTGCAGAAGGGAAAAAGCTAAGACTGAGAAACGGACATCATATGGTCTGGTACGACTGCTTTGCGGTCTTGGAGCGGGCAAAAGAATCAACTGTGATTGTATATAAACTTGTTCATGATCTGGAGGGATTGGATCACCAAATGGCACACATGGATGGAGGCATATGAGCCTTTCAAGGCAGTCAAGTAGATTACCAGCATCAAAATTCTTCCTTGTCTTATAATAATAGATAGATCCTATTTTTACGACTTAAGTTTCGTCACTCAACCCTCCTCACGTTCTTGTAAATAGAGCCCTTTTTGCACTGTTTTAAGCTATTAGGAACTCCTACTCCTCGGGTATACTATCAACGTTCTTTCAGCGGAGCGGAATCCTGATAGATCCACTAAGAATAAAATTATCGGCAGTGAGCGTCACCACTATCGCGCAGGGTGCCTTTCGGATGGCCACTCTAACAGATACTGCCATCAGAAACGGGCGGCCATGGTCGAGTTTTCTGCGGCTAAAACTAACATTCCGCGCGCGACATATATACTAGAAGCCAGGCCCTCTATTTCAGCGTAAACTATCAAACCTATGAAGAGCGTGAAGGTAGTGCTTTCAGGATCGTTAAAACTTTCCCAGGAGGTCTCCTCGGAAATAGTCCCATCGAAGACGACTAAAACGGTCAAGAGATTCTTGAGAGTCCTGCTTAGAAACCCGTGGGACGACTACGACCATGTTATGCATCTTGACCAAGGCATACTAGCCATTCGCAAAGGTTCGTCCTTCAAGATTGTCAGTGTTCAACAATTTGAATGTCCTGAAATACTCCAGCAAACGCGAATGTTCGCCAGTATCCAACATCCCAACGTCGCATCTATCTATGACGTCTATTGTCATGAAGAGAAACAGTTCATGATAACGGAACATCTATGTGTTCGCATTTCACACTTACAGATCCAAGAACACGAGCTAGAAGAATGGGAGATAGCTACTATAATATCCGAGGTGGGAGCTATCTGTCACTGGCAGCAACCAGGGCTTACGATCATAGGTCCTGCAAGGGGTGGTTCATATATCCTCATTGAGAATATCTTGCAAAGAGCTGTCAAGTAACAATATTGGAATGTCTCTGGATGGAGAGTTAAAGCTCGGTTAGTTAGCCATAGCACTCCTGGCACAATTTGTCTAACCCTCAGGCTAGTATTAGATCCCAACAACATCAAGCACGATCCCTTATACGAAAGCCCAAGGACGTCTCAAGTCTTGTTGGACTACCCTATCTTGGCTGAAATTATAGAGGAGATGATGCTTTCAAGTTACCACCTTGCTTCAGACGATGACAGAAGGTCTGAGGAGGCTTTGAGCTTTTTATCATGTACACTTTCGGGATCACTGGAGAGTCTAATGAACGTGAGCTATTACAGAAATCTGAGATTCAAAAATGGCTAATATATGGACAGCATTGCTTCCTAAAACTTGCCGCATCTCCAAGGAGGCTGATTCCGCGGATCCGCTACGGCTATGAAATCTCGCGGGGGGGGTTCTTGTTATCATGAAGAGTGACGACAAACCGTCAGAGTTACAAGATTTAAGTCTTAAGCTATTGCGCCAGATTCGCATTCATCATGTTAATATTTCATTGATATGTAGTTCCTAATGGTCCACACTCGTCTTAAGAACAAGGGCAATACAAAATAGTCGTGGGAATCTAATTCAAGAGACATTGTTGCCTTGATATTTATCTCCCAAATAGCGGCTAAGTGGAAGCCTTAAAATCGCTCGCCCTAGTTTTGGTTTTGTCCCCCAATAGCCAAGCCCGGCATTGTTCTTACCTTGAGATGGTACATACGATCGGACTATGGAGGCTATACCAGAAAGTTCCTAACGAGACTTGGATCAGCGGTTGTTTACAATGCACAACCTGCCACTGCCGTAGGCACAGATAGCTCCGCTTAGTCTCCTCATGAAACGCCGCGATCGAAGTCGAAGTCGGTATCTGTCCTTAGGACACCTGTCATGTTGAGAAGGTATGCCCTATGGCAGCTGCAGTACAAAGAGTGGAAGTACTTAGTACTTAATTGTAGCTCTCACGTGTTATGTACTAAACAGCTAATACAGGGTGAAATTCACTAACCACATTATTAGTGAGAAGATCTCGACGAATTATAAAAACATATAGAGTTTAGACTGAAGCTGGTTTCGCATCTTACTGTAGCTCTCTTGCGTGTGCCATTTTTTAGTTCGTTGTCAAGCTCTTTTAACTTAGGCCTCATTGCGTGTATTGAGCGCCATCGGAAATTTTTGGTCTTGAACACCTCGTACACTTCCATGGGCGGGGCACTTAGCATATCAATCCGTACCTTGCGCAGCGTGTCCTTCTCTTGCGGGTCCCATTCCAGGCGCAGCTCAGACATGTTTCTATGCTTCCAGTTCCTTTACGAACATTTGATTATGGCAGTGATGGAAATGCCGACCAAAGCAAATTTGATGACCGAATAGTAAAGGTGACGGAGGTGTTTGGTCAGCCATGTACTGGCCCCATGGCTAATATTTCTCCTGTTCATATGAAGCAGGCCTTGAGGGTACCAACACAATTGAGAGTGTTGTCCCGCCTCGGGAAGTTCGTGAACCACCTTCCGAATGTGATGGTCCCCTATCATCGCCCCCGTTCATTATCACCCCGTTCGTCAAGTCCAGCAAGGTCCAGTCAAGGTCCAGTCTTAACCAGGTCCTTTCAATTCGCAACCAATTACACCGACTCGCCCCTACTGCCAGCGTATCAGCAGCGGTGGAAGACGCAGAGGAAGCATGCTGCAGACTTCCATACCTGTGTGCCGAGAAAAATAATAGGTACTTTGACTTTAAGCATCTCAAACTCCAAATACCTATAAAAGGGTCTTACCCGAGATTTATAGCCTTAGTACCATGCTAGATACTGTCATAAGCCTTGTGGCTGCTATAACACGCAAATTATCCATAGTCGCACTAGAGGTTAATAATACCTCTAATTAAGGTTATCTAATTTTAGACAAATTTACCAGTTTTCCGGGTTTTCCGGGTCAAATTACCACGTATATATACTAATTAGTGGGGCCTTATAATTGAGGGGCCATTTCAGCCAGTTAGAGCTCATTTCGTTCAATTCGTCGCAGAGAAACGACTTCACGTGCATAATCCACTTATATAATCTCTTAAACCAATAAAAGCTAAGTTGGTAAAAAGGTTCTTAGCAAATACGTCTGATGTATGAGATAAAATTAAGGCGACTAACAATTATTGGTTAGTCCAAGACAACTATTGCACGTGATCGTGTGCAAATAAAAGGCGTGGACCGAATCCCATAGCTAACGCACCATCAACACCCTCGACCGCCAAAGACATGTCGGCCAACTTCCTTAAGCTCCCTAGTGAACTTCGCAATAAAGTATATAACCGATGCTTATTACTCGAAGAACCTATTGACCCTTGGATTAATTACAATCGACAACAGCAGCTCACACCTGGGCTGCTCTGCACAAACAAGGCCATCCACCGCGAAGCCAGCTCACTATTCTACGCCCAAAATCGCTTCAATTTTACTATGTCCAGCCCTACAGACACAGCTTTGTTCCTTAGGACAATCGGCCGTAACAACGCAGGCTGTATCCGACATGTCTGTGTTAATTTTCCGGACTTCTATTTACACGCGGGTGGTGTCACACTCGGGGAGGGTAGCATGAGCATCTTTGCGAGTATCCAGAGTAGCTGTGCTAATTTGAGCACACTCATAACGGCCCCGTATTGCACACTTGATATTGAGGAGAAGCTCGAGGAACTAGACAACCCTAAGATCACTGAGGTGTTAAAGCTGATTAACACTTGCTTCAGAGCCATCTTATCCCTACAAGAGATTATTGTTATCGTATATGAGGACGACCCGAGTAGTTTTATAAGAAGTGAAATGGAGAAGCATGGATGGATAATCAGTGTAATGGAAGATGGAAAAGAGTGGTAGCTATAGCTATAAACTTGGGGATAATAATTATCAGATTGACAATGATAGTAACTTTTGGAAAAGTTTTAGCCACAAGGCTAATAAGGATCTCTAAGCATTACCGTGGGGCATTTATGAGTTTTATCTATAGAACAAGCTTAATGGGACTGTTATAGAATGTTCATCCGGCTTAACTTGACCCTAATTACTGTATCTAGACTAAGTAGAGGGGGCATCTAAACCACTAGTAGATAGGCAACTATTTTCATGTTAAACAACGTGTAACGTATTTTATTTCTATTTACTTGACATCAGTGTCCAAATATAACGCCTGAACGAACCATCCAGTCAAAACCTCTGAGCACGACGCTAGTTAATGTCATGAAGAAACAAGATGGCATATCCTAATGCAATTCGAATAACATCACATTCGGGAAATCATTAACATCTAGATAGGTATTGCGTCAAATTCTGTAGCAGCTTAGCCTAAGGCTATAGCTCCTATGATTAAAACCCGAGGAATATTCTCCTTAGTCCCTTACTCTTGGTAGTAGAAAGAGGGAGTAATATTCTCTAGCTTCCGCCTGGTATCGACTGACCAGTCTCGTGTGCCTCCTGAAATGCTGACCCGAACACATGAACTTCCAGGTCCCATGATTAGTAGGATGTCTTGTCGTAAACCTGATATGGTTAGATTCTTCTAAAAGCATCCTGGTAAATGTAGCGCAGTTAAACCTTCATGCCTGTACTAAAGGTGAAGGCGGTTTTGCAAGAGGCTGTATATAGAACTCAAATGATTTCAAAATGAAAAGAGGGTTAAAATAGTTTTCGTTGGTGTAAGTCTCGGGGCATGCTGCTCGCTCCTGATGGTAGAGGCTAAAAAGCTTTGGTCCGACATGAGGTTGCTGCGGGGAAAGGACAAGTGGGTTTACCATAAGCGTCTTGATAGGAGGTAGTGCATAATATTCTCGAAGGAAAGAACGAGTGGGTCTCCCATACGTTTCTGGGGGTGGGCTGAAAAAGAGTGGGTCTGACATAACGCCCCAGGGGAGAGACCATCCACAGGATTGGAGTGGGTCTGACATAATATTACTGGGGGAGCCGCACCGACACTATGGATCAACCATAATCTTCTTGAGGGGAACGACAGTGGGCCATATATTACCAGGGGAGAGGCCGCCATCATAAGTGGATCACCATAACATTCATGGGGTGAGCCATAGAGGGCATAGTAACAACGCCGGCAGGTCAGCCCTGGCATACCTGATGGCCGTAAGGACCATGGGACTCCCGACCCAACAGCCATGTCTTTTGTGAGCCATCAGCTTATGGCTTTCGATCCATCCACCCAGCCTGCATTTTTTGGACGGTTGCATAATCCGGCTGCTCTGAAACTCGGCCATCCAGACTCAGCTTGTGAAGGTTTGCATGCGACATGAAGTAGAAAATCTAAAAGATATTGATTGATCTCACATAACAAGACGTATCGCGAATACAAGAACGTAGGATGTCCTTGTCGCGTGGTAAATAAACGTGAATACAGAGCGTGAAGTTACGTGTGTCGGACCTTTTTGCTACCAGATTAGGGTCTGACGGGTTAAATTGGGACTCGGCTGAAGAGTTATCTAGGTACGAAATAGACCCTTCATACACAATATTCAGTAGTTATTTTAGGGGTAAACCTTCTTAAATCCTAGAGGATATAGCTGTGTGAGAACTAGTTTTGCCACGTGATTTTGCGCGACGCCTTTTGCTAAGCCAACTGTAGCTGGGCCTGGACAAAAGGCACTCCATATATATTCCTTCTCTATAACACTATACCTCTCATTCATAGTGTGTATGAGCACTGCCACATACTCCTTCTCCGCATGATGCACATCCCGCGTGATAAGAACCAACCCCACATAATGTACCATACGATATGACCAAAGACATACTTCAGCTAAGCCACCACCGTGATTTCTCCTACCCCTATGAACTCCCAGCATTTCTCCATGATTGTATGGACTGAGCTAGATTGCGTGATTAGTGAAGCTTAGGTAGGCTCTTCAGTGTGTAAACACTAACATCAGTACAGACGTCAAATTTGATCTTCTGGGACAGAAACTGCAGTTCCGTAGCTAGGTAGAGCCTCATGATAATTTGCCATTGGGATAGGTGCGCGAACAGCTGCTGAATACGGAGGGACACTGCTCAGGTCATTCAGATCATAATAGTCCACGTTCTCGAGGTTTGTGCCGAGTGTAATGTCCTCGGCCGTATTTCTGGTATGGATGTTGTAAGAACCGACATTCTGGCAGAGCGTCCTTCTCCGAGAACCCTCGCTGAAAAGCCTTGAAAAGGTTTGACTTGTAGGGTGGAGGCCCTGAAGTCTTTCTGATAAGTCTGCGGTGCGGATGCCACGTAAACGAACAATCGCATCAGGCCGTGTTAAATTGTCAGACGAGAGCGACCGGGGACAGTTATAAATGGGAGTGCTCGTCCTCGACTGCGGCATCGAAGCCGCACGGAGTGGTCGACGATCCATATATGGCTGATCGAGGAGGTGTTTTTCATACGGAGGTGGTGCGTGCAGAACCGTGTCCAACCGAGGAGGTCCCTGGCAGGCTGCGTGAACACGACCGTTGGCGTCAGGGAGCATGTCGGGCGAGATAAATATTGTGATGGGAAGCGATGCACGGAACTAAACGTATAAGCACTGAGGCTATGATATTGTCTGAACTTACCTCTGAAATACGCCCATCAGGGTTGTGTATGGTGAGGCTAGCCCGAACTCTATGCCGCACTTTAATCCTACAAGCGTCCGTATCTGGCATACACTTGCTTAATCGTTTTGGTAGCAGCAGCATCCTCTCTAGCAGATATCTGTCCTGGCACTGCTCGCGGAGCATATCGTCTTCGTCGTTTGGTTCAAACACCCACGAATCCACAACCCGGACGCGTAGAAGGCGAGGATCAGCAGCCTCTAGCAGAGTGAACTCTTGATATTCGAATAGCTCGCACCGCGCTGTGCCTATTTTGAGGCCCTTCAACAGAGGAGTGATCGTCATCTGCATCGTTATTTCCGTCCCGAATATAACCCCTTTCTGAGGAATAGTCATCTGACACTCGACATTGTCCGACCACAGACATTCAATTGTCATAGGATGTGCCAGCTCTAGAGAAGCCGGCCCGAGTGTTCGAACAATCCGTACAGGCTTGTGTGTATGTAAGTCGCATCCCATCCTTCCCCTCGAAATCGTGGCTTCTAGCTTGTACGTAAGGTAGCTGCTCGTCAACCCTTCAATTGTCTCCGGTATTGACCCATCAATCACAAGCTCGAACGGCCATTCGTAATTTTCCGGTGGCAGAAGAATACCCTTGGCGGGCGAGCCAGTGTTCCCACCACCGACGAAAGAGGGCCAGGTGTGATGAAATATCTCTGTCGACCTCTCTATCCACCGCGAGGGGTTCCAAGCACCTGCCACTCTATCATTCCATCTGCAAGGAGTTAGGTCTGTGCCAACGGCATCTCTTGGAAGTAGAACCCGCCCGATTTTAAGATGACCTGCCATTCGCAGCCACACACCCTCAACTTCCAGCGCTCCAGGTAGACATAGCACAACCACACCTCGAAGGAGCTGGCTAGAGGCCTCGCTCTCGACCCCTCGCAGAACTACAGTTTCATTGTCGAGGCTTTTAATATTAACATATACTCTATAGCAATGAAGACGCCCACGCACCGTATTTCAAAGAGACTGGGGATAGTCCTGCCTGCGATACCGCTAAAAGATTTAAGACTCGGCATTGCGGAAGGTCACGGTAGTTGTCGTCTACTAGTTTTCGTTCCGGGTGGTCACGTCAATATTGTACTCCGGTTGACCCCAGTGCAGCATGACCTGATGGCCCCCACAAGAGTGATGTATCGGACTGCGCCCGCTCAGACTAGCCAGCTCAATAGTACCGTCCAGAGAATAATCACCCTCCACCATAAATTTTAGCGTTTTCTCTACCATACGTATCTATCGAACTAGGTTAGGACCGCGGTTCCAATTGACCACGACGACTGTAGGGCAATGAAAGAAAATAAATTAAAAGATGATCTCTTGGGTTGATGCTGTACTGTAACTGGCTTACAGTATCACCGCTGATGTAGTAGTTGATAACGTCCAATGACCTGTTGTGTGCGAAAGAACATTTGTGCCTTAAGCCGGAAGCATGAGAAGCCCGAGGAGTACGTGTAACCAACAGCAAGCATACTCTTGCCCTACTGACCTAAATCGCTTTTTTGGAAGGTACCACCTAGAATCTCTAATCTACGGCGCAATCGCAATTCCGATCGAACTCATTGTATACTGGCTGACAGGCCCCTCTATGACGGGAAGGAGGCTTGGTTAGGGGAACTCCCTTCTAGCATTTATTTCACTCGGCCTTGGAGGGTTACCCCTATTACGAAGGGTGACGGAAGGGGTTCCCAATCGAGCTAGATATAAGTGGCCTCGGGCTTTGTAGGACTGGTCATATTAGAAATGTGATGCAGATTGAGTTGTTCATCGCTAGAGCACCTGTGAAGTTCCCCGCATATAATGAGTGTAAACATTCACGGTAGGGACGGCCTGCCAATATTTCTTTTTATGTTGATATTTCTCCTTTATATCCATCCACCTTTTTAAATTGTCTGCCTTCTTTTCAGCGCTCCAACCCCACCCTCATCATGTCCACAACACCACGCGACGTCGAACGCTGCTCCACATTCCACAGCAACGGGATCGCGCTGGCAAATGAAATTATTCTGCATATCCCAAGTTATGTATCCATAGGCACTCAGTTGCTGCCGCTAGGGGGCGGGGTGGGCACGCGCAGGGCCCATCACCCGATTGCCTCAGTGTCGCGGCACCTACGGGCAATTTACCTGAGCCAGCCGTACCTAGCACCAGCGGACAACACACAACCGCCGGTCCCATGCACCATTGGCGGAGCCCTTCAATTTGATGACCTTTGCACCTTGGTTTCCTTCTTCGAGGGCGGCCCTGGTCAGGATACCAATTTCTTGCGTGAAATCCGGGGGTTGAATGTATCGTACAAAGATAGCTTCGCCGTCAGTTGGTGGCAGGAGACCACCAATTATGCATTTGAGGCCTTCGAGCTTCTCTACAAGCGCTGGCACCTCATGTCCGTGTCTTGGCTTCGAATTCACCTTCGTTGTACTAAAGCGATCTTGTCCGTAGATGATCCAGGGATCTGGAGCCTGCTGAAAATTCGCGGCCTTCCACGCCTCGAAGTTGTCGGCCCTCGTCGTTGTATCTCCCCTCTGGTCCGCAAATACCTCAAAGCGCGAACACGCAGCCAAAGACTGTTCCCATGGCGCCCGCTTGGTGTGGAGAACCCCGGCCCTAAAGAATGGACAGCTCTTGTCAAAGATCGAAGTGGCATACCAAGGTGGCAGGCGCAGTTCGAATGGTTGGAGGCTCGGTACAAGTATTTGCACGATCGAGAAACAATCGCTGCGAGGTGCAAAGAGCAACGAACTACATATCGTAAGCAACTAAATCGGTGGCCGATGTTATCGAAACGTAGACGGAGGAGGGGCGTATAGTCTTTGGCTTAGAGCGACAAGGGGGGTTTGAGGGGTTTCCGTGAGCGATGAACGTGGTTATATTAACCTCTCGTCAGTCTTTCTCTAGCTAAATCCATCTAATGGGAGGTATTCTACCACGTTAGATATACTTTTCCGTCTCCGTGCATCTTCCCAGTAAATTTGAGACTTTATTACGGGACTCTAGGAAGAGTCCTGAAGCTCGAATTTACTCTCATTCTCTCTCACCAACCATTAACTTATTCATGGTATAAGCTATCATCTCCACCTTAGCTGGATTCCCCTACTCTGTTGCTGACTATGGTCTAGGGTGTCCTTCACTACGGGGGACAAGACTTGTATACGTAGAACAGCCTCATAGGCTTGGGTTGGGAAATAGCGACCCTGAAGGACTTTGCAAGTTTATTAACCACATTGACCTTCTCATTTGCTTCTCATTTATCAACCACTAGAATTTGTATACCCTAACGCACGAATCGCCTAGGTATCCCAGGAGGCCCTCTGTAGGTCGAATAAAACTGTCTGCGTTGAAGCGACTTAAGTAATCCGTCGCTTAGCAGGATTGGGGTATCGTGTAAACGGAGAGTGTCGTGTAAACGGGTCGTGCAGTGTAGACGGGTCTTGGAACAGCTGGTCCCAACGCCAGTTCTTATCAGACAACTCGAAAAAACAATTCCTGCTCACGCTATCGAGGGTGACCTTTTGTCTCGCTCCAGTAACATCGTGGCGTGAAATTTTGCGCAGGGCAGTCTCACCCCAGACAAGTGTAGCGGAGGACACGACTCTTTTGGAGAAGAGCTTCCTCGGAGGGGCTGTGATACAATCTCTCGCCGCAATTTGCGCACCAATGTTGAGAATAATATTCGAATTCTTGAAAGTGACCTCATTGGTCTCCTTGTTAAAGTCATGTCGCAGGAGGCAGTCGAGGATATTTGGTCTCTCATATCTCAGATCTCCATCCCAATCTCCATCAGCGAGGACAAGGTAGCACTCTTTTTCTGGCGGCCCATAGCAGAGACAATATAAGCCATGGCCAACCAAAATAGGCTTCAAGCCCATCTTTTCAGCTGATGAGATCCACCCATAGTCTTTCATAATCTCGTCCCATATCCGTTGGATCTTTTTCTCCGTAGTAAGCTCGACACGAAAGATGCGAGAAATATATCTGGCAGAATATAGAGGCAAATGATCTACTACAGCTGCTTGCACTGCCGGCTTCCCCTGGCCCGAACTTTTTGACTTATTGCTAACAGGGCATTCCTGGCCTTTTGTCCAAATGCCGTTAAGCGTATAATACTATCCTCTCGCCCAGCAGGAATTGGCCACACTAGTAGGTTAACTGGTCCAGTAGAATACATTAGTTTCGTGCATATCTTGCTCCGTAAATACCACAAAATAGTAGAATTAGGAGTAGATATGCATTCTAGTCAGTAACGACTTTAATACGACCGCTTAACTAGCGTAGTCAAGTCCTGTCGGACGAGGGGTTAATCGCGCCAATTGACCAGGCTATTTCATTACTGAGTCACCCTGCAGCAGGTGGAGGTACTTCAGCCCTGAAATCTAAGGCACGTAGCTTTCTGGCGGCTTTAATAAAGTGACCACGTTCCCCGCCTGGAAGGCTTCCTTTCCTTCTACATGCATCCCATCAAGATCTGAATAGAAAGCTTGCAGCGCGCAATAATGTAAGTCAACCACCTAGTCTGAATTAATAGCTATTAAATCTTTAGTAGGGCAGCACCAACAACCTCTGGCCGAATAACTCTCTCACAAATAATCAACGAACTTAATCCCGACCATGACCCTCACACGCTCTCGCAAACAATCAATGAACTCAATCGCGACCCACGACGTGACCCTTACGCGATCAGGGAACTTCCTCAATTTCAGCAACTTCCACTAGAGCTTCAACGACAAATATGGCAACTCGCTTTACCGACCCCACAACCTCTTGAAATCAATATCAAATCCGAACAGAAAATCAAACGGGCCTTTTGGGGCGTTGGCCCCTTTCCGATGCTCGAAACCTGCAAGCTATCCCGTGAAATAGCCCTCTCTGTTTTCGAACCTCGAATACAGCTCTATACGTCTGAAGATAAGGTACTTTGTACTACACCGAACACTGGTCTAGAATCTGCGAAACGTATTCACATATATACAAAAACGCGACATAGTGATATCGAAATTAGGGTAGGCTCTGAAGTATGTTCAGTAATTAATTGGATACATAGTACATTAGGGTTTCAGATAATAGAGCTTTCAGAATTCGAAATCACGGCCAGGTATCTTGCTACCTGGCCGCTCGAAGAGGGCGATAGGCTAGATAATGCGGTTCTGCTTCAGAGTAGACTTCCTGTATATGAGGGTACTAGGCGCAGTTTGCCACTAAGATTACAGGGCATGAGATTCTTTACTCCAAGGAATACTTCGAGAGACAAGCGTAATCGCAGATGACACTTATACTACTTTCGCAGGTGGGCTAGGGTTATATATTCGAAGGAATCCAAATTTTAAGCAACTAGATATATTTGAAGTGAGAGTCCATGCAAGTGAGAGAACCAGCCGGCATAGTCAGGGCTACTTTGTTTCATAACTAGAATCTCCTTAAATACGAGAGGTACCCAGAGGAAAGTACTGCTGGCCGTTCGATACATTTGATCCCGGACCTCGCATTGTAGCTTGTGCTCGATACGAGATTTAGTGCTATTATTTAGAGATAAGGTAATCTTACTATAGGTACAAATAGGACTAGTATACTATTGTAATACCTTTACTTGATAAGTGAGATGGCCTAGTCTACTGTAATAGGTGAAGGTATCAGGAGAGCTTAATCACAGCGAAACCATCTTCACCAGGAGAAATTCCCCTTATCAAAATTAATTGCATACCCAGCAGCAGGCCGAGAACCCCTGCCCAGCAACAGTCAAAAAATTCGGGGCAGGGGAAGCCGGCCGTGCAAGCGACTGTATCATTTCCTTTAACTCCTGAGCAAGGTATGGCAACGATATAATCCTACCAGCGAGTCATTATGTGCTAGTCCATTAAGTATACCGTCGTTCTGCGATATGTTTAGCACATCACGCTTATGAGGCCATCATTTATGTTCACCAGGTTATGACAACCATTAAGTAATGGTACAACACACAATATACCACGATCATAACAAGCGTGAGGGTGCAGGAGATGTAGAGTTTGGCCATCGCTCCCTGAATCCCTCTAGCCTTAGATGTATGTCCCTTAAGAATTTGGGTAGCCGGAATATTACACCACTTACCTACCTTTCCTAGCAAAAGTATGACTTTTTTGCTATGTTTCTCACTGATTTACCTTGGCTCAATCTTGATATATACTAGCAGTGAAGCGCCTGCACGTTCGCTGATCAGTCGTTACAATGCGTACACCTGCCTATCAATTGAATGTAGGCGACAATTAGCAGCCTGCGAAGATAAAGCAGATAGGTCACAACCATACACATAGTCCAAATGATGCATTTCCGCTAGTATGAAAAATTAATACGTGCTAGAGGTGATTTATATCCACCTCTTTATTCATCTCCCCCACTGCCGCTATCCACCGGAGATAATATAAGGCCGGTTACAATAGGATTGTCAACACATCCTCCTACTACAACCTGCGCACAGTGTGCGCCATCAGTGCAACGATTATCAACCCAGCAAATCTCATTAGAGTTGCAGTCAGAGTTTTCAGAGCACGAATGATTCCAACAATACCCTTCAGCAACAACGCACCTTGGCTGGTAGTCAGCGTCGTGAGTACACATGCATATTCCCTCCAGGCATGAGAAAAACGTCCTCCCTACATTGCAGTTAAGGTCGGGTAATAATGTACTTGACGGTAGTATAGTTCCTATATTCGGGCTGATACCTGGGGGGCCCGTGCTAGAAAGAGGTGCTAAAACGGAATCGCGCATGCCATGCCGGACGTTGGCGTAGGTGGAGTTTGGATACAGCAGCCGGTTTGGAGTGGTGTCAAGACCTATGCCCTCTCCCCGGAGAATGCCTGACACGGTTTGAATTATGCTTTCATCTCCTACGCCATCATCGCTGCTTTCCCAGTACATCGCACCGCCAAGTCTGTCCATGATAAAAGCCGCCTTCTGTCTCGCTACATCGACGTTATCGTAGCTTATAAGCTGTTCCTGACTAGCGCTGTAACTATAGCTCGAGCCAGCATTGCAGTCGTAATATACAATGGCCCCCTCTAAAGAGAGCTCCTTCAAGCTGTAGGTGCCGGAGCCGGAAAAGGATTGTCCAAGACCACCAGTACCATTAAAGTAGCGGCCATAGAGAGGCATGCCAAGTACGATCCTGTTTGGCGATACGCCATGCGAGGCATAGTAGTTTATGACTGACTCAGTGTCAAACGGCGTGCTCTCTGGATGGTCCGCGGAACGAAAGAGGTTTGCTTGGTCGCCAGTGACGTTGCTCCAACCCCCAGAGTAGTCATAGGCCATAAGGTTCCAGAAGTCTACGTGCTGGTCTATCTCGGCCGGGAGCAGATGCGTGTACCCAAATGGCCCAGGACAAGCTACTGTAACAGTATAATTGTTTGGCAGAAGAGTTTGCCGCACCTCTTTCAGTAGAAGCACCATATTTGCAGCTTGTGCGGTGTTGGCGGGGTATTCCCAGTCGATATCCACGCCATCGAGACCAAGATTCTCAATGAGTGCGAGCACGGATGTTGCAAACTTCGAGCGTCCGGAGTCACTTGAAGCTGGTGATGCAAAGTGTGGTGAGTAGGTCGTGCCACCGACAGAGAGTAGAACTTTCAGGCCGCGATTCCTCTTCTTAAGCACGTAGAGCTGCTGCAGATAGCCATAGAGGTTGTTACTAGTCGGAGAAAGACTTCCGGTATCTGCTAACAGGTTGCTGAGGAAGCTTTACCCGACGTCAGCTATCTCGATAACAAATTCCAGTTGCAACTCACACCTCCCCCGTGTCTGGATTTATATCTGCGAAGGCGTAGATGATATGTGTGAGGCTGCTCGCGGGAAGTTGTTGAAGCGTGAGGTACCCGTCTGCTACCCTGGACTGTTTTAGTCGATTATTACAGTTGGAAGTCATAGACCTACCAATTACCAAAGTAAGCAACGTTTAGATAACCTCTTGCTGGAGCGGTGGCACTTTGAATGAGGGTCGCTGCGGCTAGCAGAGAGGCAACGGAAAGCTTCCAACGCATCGTGGGTTTAGAAGTCTCGATAGATTGACGAGATTACAGCAAGGACGCGGAAGGCTACTTCGAAGAGCCGGTCACAGGGGAATATCAAGGCGTTATGGGCCCAACCCCCTTGATACTGGCGGGCCGTCCATAATTTGCACCATCGACCCACCCGTGTAGACATCACGAACGGTGTGGGTTTTAGCTGCCCGGTGCACTGCTAGGTCTACTAGCATGCGTATCGGATGGCCCAAAATGGGCTTACTAGGTCATGCTGATGGAAGCTGATCGAGCTACTTATGGACTTTGCATTTAAGCTGGCCCTCATAAATGAAGGACCTTCGTCGGGCACGAGTCGTACCTTATAACACAGCAGGGCGGTTTATATGCGGCGGGTGTCAACAGCTCCGTATACGACGAACAATACGCTCAGCGACTCGGCTCGACAATGAAGATCTGGGCGGCTGCGGTTAGCATGGCTCTTTTTGTGCCCAATATTCAGTCTATCGGGACAGAAATACCGGACTGTGCGGTTTGTCTACTTTGAATAGTCCTATTCTCATATACTGAGGTAAACAGGTGAAATGCATTGGAGAGTCAGTCATGCTCCCGATGACAACGTCTAATTTTACTAGTCTTTGTGCCGATATGGAGGAGACTAGTAGTTTAGAACTGTGTATCAACCACAATTGCTCAATCACGGAGGCTTTGGGTTTGTCCTCTCCCGTTGTGTAGATAAGCAAACTAACGTAGCCAGTAATTAAAAACATGACCGAAACCGTTTGTGGTAAACCGCGGCGGGATAGATCCAACGCGGTCTCCATCACGGGAATTGTTGGGATTTCTCTTGCCATGATAACTTTCCTTCTGAGAGTCCTGGCTAGGACAGTGCACCACCAGTCTGGAATAGACGACTGGACTATGATTATGGCAATGGTACTTCTAAGGAAAGCAATTATTCTATGTGGTGACTTATAAAGTATAGGGATTTGTACTGCCACTATCTGCCCTGTCTGTTGTTCGTATGTTGAATCTTCTTCTCTGACTTTTAGTGGCCACTGACGAGATTGGCAGTTGCGAACCATGGCCTTGGCAAGGACATCTGGACACTTCCGTCTGATGAGATTACCTATATCCTATATGTAAGTATGCCCAGGAGTCACAGACGCTCTGATTAATAGTCTACAGATATATTATATCGACGAGTCACTATACATTGGCAGCCTAACAATGATCAAGGTGTCCATATTGTTCTTCTATCTTCGAATATTTCCAAAGAAAGTCTTCAGGAGGGTGGTCTATACCGTTATGACAGGGAACATTTTGTACGGCATCATTTTTATCCTCCTTTCGATATTTCAGTGTATTCCAGTAAAGGCTGCTTGGACGAGGTGGGAGGGAGAGGTTCCAGCCAGGTGCTTAGATATAAATGCTCTTGGGTGGGCGAGCGCTGGTATCAACATCTTTTTCGATGTTATCATCCTTATCCTTCCACTGCCAGAATTAGCAAAGCTCGTTATGTCGTATCAACGCAAGATTCACATCTTATTGATGTTTGGTCTAGGATCTTTGTGAGTATGTTGTACCCCACTAGAACTTTCGCTAATCGAAAACAAGTGTCACTATTGTGAGCATACTCCGTCTCAGCTCGCTCATAAAGTTTGCAAATACACAAGACATAACATGTAAGGCCATACAGCAGTGCAAACTACAGATACTAACCGTGGCAGGGGACTATGTTCCTATTGGGTATTGGAGTACTGTTGAGGTGCATGTTAGCGTGGTCTGCGCATGTCTGCCAGCACTTCCTTCCCTATTTCGGAAGAGACACTCGTCCGCAGCAACCGAAGCCACCCCTTTGCCGCATAGAAGCACTCGAGCCGGCTCCGAGGTGAGGTACCGTTATTCTAACGGATCTCCAAGTGTGAAGGTAGTGAATATACGCCAGCGGGACAGCGAACTATCACCATCTCGCCAAATACGGGTGTCGTCGTGCGTCACCGTCACGAACACTCCTCGCGGAAATAATGAGTTTACCTTTAATGGAATGCCTTCGAGTTACAGTACTGCCGAGGGGACATCTGCCAAACGATAACTGGCTCATTGATTCGCGATTTGTTAATCGTTTGTTCCAGCAGATATTCCAGTAAATTAGTATACTTTACCACACACTCAATTCGCTATCATATATCCCATAATTTTCTACTTTGATGGGATATCGTACTAGCGCATTTGAGCCTGGGGTAGTTAAGTAACGCCGTTGGACAACCATGATAGTGGCTGTCACCACTTCGCAAGCATGGTTTTATCCACTGGGTGGGCATCTACACTGTGAGGTAGCAAGCATCATTAGTACAACCCTGTTACCAACGCATCCCTTGAAATAGACTGTGGCGGGTAAAGCCTTAGTTATAAAACTCTCCGCCTCCCAACCAGTTAAAGAGGAGTTGCTCCGTCTCAATAAGCCTAGGTCTGGAATGAAGCCCAGAATTGATGAACTACATAATTTTGTAGACCTAGGCGATGAGTGAGATGGAAGGTTAATGAATATCGAAATCGTCCATGGGAGACAAAATTGCAGCCCAATTAGAAAGGCTCAAGATAGAGGTGTCAATTTAAGTGCCTGCGGGGCAACTACAGCAAGTCGAATGAGTAGAATAAGAAATAAAGTTTCTGAAAAAAAATTGGAGGCTGCTATATTTTGTGACAAGCCACGAGAAAAATTCCTTGGGCCACCTGAAATGTATGATGACCTCTTTAACATGACAACAATGCCTTTCCCGCTTCGTAAGCATGTCAAGCCAGAATCTATCCCGTCTCAGAGTCATTTAGAGTCATTCTAACGTAGCTTATTGACGAGTAGAAGTAATTCACAATCGACCGAATGCCTTTAGCCCCCTTCCTAAGCCTCTGGTATATTCGGGCTTAACATTCTTTCTCCCAGCGATGATTTCCACCACCCCGGCCAGGAGCATAACTACCACAGCTGCCCATGTGAGGAACATGTACTTGTTTCCTTTGTACGCATACACGCCAATCTCGTTGCCATATCTGTTGATAAGCCCTACGGCCTTTATCTGCACTATAGTGATGACAGCCGACGCGATTAGGAGTGAGAGAAATGACAGAGATATCAATCCCCAGTTGTAGAACAGAGCAAAACGCGAGGTGGGCGTGACCAGCGTAATGAGTGTGCCTAGGATAACAAGACCAGTAGCGGTGGCTCCTACAGTATAGAGGACGAATAATGTATCGAGTGCAGTGCTCAGATTATTTAGACCATTTTGGATGTCCGATGGCCAGCCGATGGCAGAGAGGTCGAAGTGTAGCTTTCCAAGCTGGAGCTCCTTGCTAAGCTGATCGGAAATATCAAAATGGTCTAGTATGTTGTTAATACCTGTTTGAAGCTGTGTAGATAATACATACACATCGCCGTCGGCTTGGTGCAAGACGAGACATTTAGCTGTGTGCCTGGCGTGGTAGCGTCCGGGCTGTATGTTCCCTCACACATACCCATCAGATGCATACTATACCACTGCTGGATTCCCAACTCCGCAGCAAGCTGATCGGTAACATGCCCGATTACGCTATTCAAGTCGCTCCCGATTTCTCCTCCAATGGAGCTGTGGAAATCGCGGGCGATGCTGCCGAAGATAGACCCCAGAGAAGGGGTAGAGCCTGAAGAAGGGGCTGTTGTGGGGATAATATTGTGGCCAAGTGTAGAAGTGTTGAGCTACGGGGGATATTAGTAGGGGAATATAGGAGAGGCAAGACGTACAGTAATGATATGGTATTCTTCCAAGAAGCCCGGCTTGTGGCCGGCGAAGAGGCAAAAAATAGAGAGAACGAGTGCCGCGCATGCGCATAGCAAAGGAAAGAGTGTTGAGATGCGCATTTTAGCCTTGATTGATACGGAGACTGGAATCTGCGATGGCACGAAGGTCAAATATTACCATCGGTCCCGTACTTTTAAACTAACCCCTAGGGTACTGATAAACACCCGGATGTAGGGGGCCATCCAAGAATAGGAGGGGTTAGGCGTGAAGATGACCAGGTGTGCAGCCAATAATCACATTCTCGTTTCAAGGTTTCAAGTTATATCTGCATCAGACCTCAAGCTCACATTGTTGGTCCAAGATTATTTAATGCATACACAATTGGCAAGGCTCTGCCTTTTGTTAAAAATTGGCACGACTGAGTTAAGACGTATTTAATACACGCAAAAGAGGGGTTAATATACCAAAGTTGCAGTAAACATGTTCTCCAGTGATTAAACGGGAGCTTCCCATTACTATCCCACGACTATGTACTTCCACAAAGAGAAGACAGCAATTTATGAAGCCTCCATGGTAGGACGTCCCTGTACTGCTGGTACCGACTTTTCCAGATAATCGTTGACGCAACCAGTTCGTCCTCCTCGGGCGGCCAGTTCCAATAGTACACTAGACATATCATATCCTGCAGCCCACTCTTAACCACCCTACAGCCTAATAAACTACAAGACACGATTGGGTAGACTTCTAAGGTCTGGCGAAGGCCGATGAGTGGAAGGTCATGTTTCATATATACATAAGCACTGTCTGAGGATTCGAGTCGAGATCTGTAGACGGCGTGTGCCATTAGACGAGATTGCCTGCAGACCTTGAGCATTGTAAAAGGTCCAGCCCCCCAAACCCAGCGGTCTTGAAGCAGGTTGTTAACTCGTATGGTAATCTGGATCGGGCGTGGCGCAGGTATAGCAAGTTGCCATATGATGTCTTGAATTTCTTGAGGGAGACGAGGAGTCCTTCGGTATTTAGTTAGATAGTTTTGCACCTTCGCTCGATGTTCCGTAACTATGTTGAGATTGTAGATGAACTGCTGAGGTTTCGCCCTGAGGAAATTAGCATCTGTTGAGAATTATCGAGGCTAGGCTCACATTGGTATCCAAAATTCTCTTCTCCCTTCTATTGCTTGTCGCTGAAAGGATTCAACTTCTTCACGGGTCGAAGCGTATATGCGAGTACGGGATGCTGTGAATCCTCAAGTCACGAATGAATTATTCTGCCGTCGCCACCTTGTCTCCAGGGCGATGTGCGCGACCATGCAGTTGGTGATGGGCCAAGCAATCCTAGAGCCATGTAGGTAGGCGGCATGATGGACTGTGCTAAGTGGCCCAACGGCATGCGAAGGCCATCCGGTATGTGAGGGTCGTGGTGGCCAATGCGGGACTTGGCCGTCCGGTAGATAGGGGATGAGCCGCCTCGCTAATCTGACATCTGTTCCTGCAGGGCCACCCCATCAAATATCTGATGGTCGCTCATGAATGGCCCACATAGCTGACGTAAATGCGCCCCTTCCCGCGGCCAAAGAAAACGACCATACCATCCATAAACTGAGGCTGGTATCGTTCCTCTCCAACATTATGGAACTGGTCGAACTCCCTACGGCAGCAAACCACTGTCACATACACCTCGTCATCGTCCACATTTTCACTCCGATTAATTTTTTTTTCGCAGAGCGTGTACTTCTATACTCCTTTTGCATTGCCATGGTCCATGCGACTCGTTGCTGTTGCCTACAATAAAATCAAAATGCTACCACCTTGGAGTTTACTTTGTCCTATCTTTCTAGCGACTTATATGTGGCTCGTTCGCGTCTTGCGATACCAACGGGAACATCATCTCAAGACGCAGTATGCGTATTCTGGTCGAGACTCACTCTCGCAAATGACCGTTCATGATGCTTGGGCAATACAGCTTAATCTGATCACTTTAGAGTTCCCGTGGGCGTTTATGAGTGCGCTGAAAATGGCCGTTTACGCAGTAAGTGGTAAGGCAATTATTGCGTGACAGCCCTGACTAAGTCTTGCTCTTAGGTGAATGGGATTCCTTCTATAACAAAGCTGCTAGTTAAAACCAATCGACTTCAACGCCAGTCGGGTCGCATTCATAAAAGATATACGGATATGACACTACTAATTGGAGAGTTTCTGATCCATCCGCCAGAAGACATGAGGTCGATAAAGGCAACCAGTCGAATGAATTGTATACACCAGTTGTACCAGCGATCGGGGCAAATCTCTAACGACGATATGCTCTACACTCTCAGCCTCCTGGCATCATTTCCAATTGAGTGGGTTACCAAGCATGAGTGGCGTAGGCTAAATGACCTTGAACAATGTGCCATGGGCACTTTCTGGAAAAGCATAGGGGAAGATATGGGAATTGACTACTCTCCCTTACCATCGGCTACCGCAGGTTGGAAGGACGGCCTTCACTGGCTTGAAGAGGTTTCCGCCTGGGGCAGGGGCTATCGACTCCGCCATATGCGAGCAGACCCCAACAACAAAATTGTCGCCTCCTCAGCTATGGAGGTAGTGTTGGGGACCACTCCCCCTCCCCTGAGGTCGTTGGCTAGATGGGGTCTCTTGGCTGCCTTAGATATTCCACTTCGCCGGGCTCTCATGTACGTAACCTCTTTCCTTATCATTTGCTATCATATAACTAACTCTACGACTACGCAAGGCTCCCGTCACCTCCATCATTGATTTGCCTCGCTTCCTCACTTTTCGTGGAGTTTCGTCGGTGGAGTCTTCGCTATTTCTTTCTTCCCCGGCCGTATTGCCTCCGTTTAAAGCCGCTCTCAGCGGCACCAGATTACAACGGTCGATATCATATTGACATCTCTGGCGCGATGCCTTATTATGTAAAACCTACTATACTCAACCGCTGGGGACCATCAGCTTGGGCGAGGAGAACCCTTGGGCTGCCAATTCCAGGCGATCAGGGCGATGCATTCTACCCTAGTGGCTATTGTATTGAGGAACTTGGTCCTCGCTTGCCCCTGAAAGCAGGGATGAAGGCTATGGAACACAGCGTCTTGACACGACGGAGGGGTCGTTGCCCCTTTGGATGATATTTCTGTGCCTAAGATCAAACAACTCTTTCGTACAATAGCTTTAGAAGTCCAATACGAGGCAATGTCAAATCTCTCCCAAAAAATCCCAAGACCCCATAGATCGTCCTGTGGTACTTAACCCGTGCGTCCTTGTTACCAGCGTCTGCGCCGTCTGTTAAGGGGGTGACGGCCTTCATGGCACGAACAATATCATCTCCACCTGGAGAGCGTAGAACTTCCGACTGCTCTGAAAGCAGTAACTACGCGCGATCTGTGCTTGACCTCGGAAATCAGCTCTTGGATCACTAATGACCAATTTCATGCCGCTTTTGAGCCGCGATGGGGCCGTAACGAGATTTGCACACTGAGTCATCGCGAAGAAGAATATTCGTATAATCCTCGACGCTCATAAAAGAAGTTTTCTTGTGAGTCCGATCGCAGTATTGCCTTAACGGCTTCAAAACGTGGGCATTTTGACCTGCTTCAATCGTAACGAGGGTCCGGCTCATGGCCCGCACCTCCCATGCAATATCAGCTGCGCCTGTCTTCCTTCAAGGCTGGCCTGCTTGCATACCCGGGCGTCATCGGATGGGGTTTGCTGCATTGTCGTGGTGACTGCCGGCGACTTGCAATAGGAGGTGCATAAGTGAGTGTCGTTTCCCGGCTATATCACGTCTCCTGTGACTACAGATGCGCACATGCTTTGCAGTAATGGCCCCCCGGGGGGTTCGTACGCGCCCGGCGCCGTGCCATGGAACAACACAACATTGTCGCAAGTACAAACCTTAGTTGGGCCTACAGCTTCAGACGAGAAAACCAATCTCACGCATCTCGACATGCGCAAACTTACCTTGCTCACTGTCCGCCATGGCGGGGTTTCTATAGACACCGCATATACCTCGAGGGCAAACCCATCGCGCGTAGGTCGGTTCTCGGCAGACTAAATGAACATTGGGAAGACGTCACCCAGCATAGCCAAGTCGTCTAGGAGCAGCCTCGGCGCCACCCCAGGTTCCTTAGAGATGCAAGTCAGCTCGCACTTACTTTCTACCATTGTCTCTGTCTTATGTGATACCAGTATCTCCGGAGTCATCGCTGATCAGCTAATTGGCAGAGCAAGAGACGTCCAACGGGGTAAGCACTGGCGAAGCAGCACGCGACCCTCAAAAAGCCATGCGGCCACTGGCCTCTGGACTCTGGCATTTCGCGCCAGCTAGACACACATCGGAGGAGCATAGGGGGGTCGCCAAGGCAGGAACACTCAAATTACAAAAGCCAGAGGGTCCAGCGGTTCCGGTACCAACGAAGCCGAAGCTTTGTAGTCATGGACACTGGAACAAAAGAGGAGAAAGCATTAGTAGCCGTCGACGACGTGGGATTGGTCGAGCCGCCAGATGACGGACTCGTAAGCCCGGAATGGCTAGTCGGCAAGAGGGAGTGGAATCGGGCATCCTAAGTGCGCGAGAAGCCTCCGAACTGCCGCCACAGAGCAGGCTTTTCAATTCAAAAGTTAAATTACACTCGGTCTCTAACGGGAGCTCCCAGAGCAGTACGATTGAACACAAAATACCAGGGCCAAGAAGCAACCTATGTCGAATATCCGTCTGGTCGTGAACGAGCGCGACACCCTAGTTTACAATGGTCGAGGCTACGTGGATGACAATTACTGGGTCCCCAACGATGATAAGCAGCAGAATCAACTTGATATTGCACACCATCTGTACGGTTTGACGCTTGGCGGCAAATTGTGCCTCGCGCCAATTAAGAATCCCAAAAAGGTCCTCGATATTGGGGCTGGCACGGGAATCTGGGCGATGGACTTTGCAGTTCAGTACCCCTCAGCACACGTAATCGGGTTTGACCTTTCACCCATAGGCCAGGTACGGGCTATACCCAATGTGCGGTTTGAAGTAAAGGATGCGTGTAGTCCGGACTGGGGCTACGAGCAGAGCAGCTTTGACTTTATCCACGCCCGCGGAATGAATGGCTGTGTTTCGGACTGGGTAGCTTTCCATCAACAAACCTTCGCGTGAGTTTCTTGCGGCTTACCAGTACCATCTGATAACAAGATCATAGCTGTCTCGCTCCTGGTGGCTGGTATCAACAGATCGAAATGTCCGTGACCCCTACGTCAGATGATGACTCTGTTACGATAGGCAGCATCTTTGATAGGTGGGGTGAGACCTTACTCGAAGTTGGTGACAGGCGTGGAAGGGATTTTCGAACCCATGGCCAGATCAAAGGCTATCTCGAGGCCGTTGGTTTCGAGGATGTCGTCGAGGTTATTTATAAGCTCCCCATTGGACCTTGGAGCGAGGACCCGCGTATAAGAGATATTGGGCGGTGGAATTTGGTACAGTGGAAGGAGGGCATTGAGGGCTGGTCGCTGGCTTTGTTGACTAGAGTGCTCCGAGTGAGTTCCCCACGGTACCATGCTCTGGATTTCTGATGCTTACTGCGGTTTGGAGTGGTCTTACACGGATGTACAAGCGTACCTCGACAAGATGCGCGAGGGCTTGGGAGATCCTACAATCCACGCCTATCATTTCATGTAGGCTTTTTCCCGCTTTCCGTTTGTTTAGTGGCTGACTATACGTGCAAAGGCATGTTGTGTACGGGCGGAAGCCCTTGTGTTGACCAGACAGCTGAAATAAGATATTCAAGACAAATCAACATCTATGTTAACAGAGGATGTTCGGCATTTTGTTATTGCGGTACTGTTATTTCAAGCTAGTAACACCATGCACCGCCTTCCATTACCCAAGCCTCGCAGCCCATGCATCACCGTTATCATTTCTCAACGCCCCCCGCTTTAGGGTCGTATTCGAGAAAAGTGTGTCTATTAACATAGCCTATATAGACCACGTATTCATGAACCATATCACAGCTGCTTCGGTGTTTCTCCCCCGCCCTCAAATTCCGGCTGCTTTTCCAACGTTCAAGACCTCCACCTTTTATTAGATGGCTGCGCTGCCGTCCTCTCCACCCGCGGTTACACATAGCAGACCGGCTCCGATACCCCCTACCGTCTACAGGATACACCGCGCGCGACGGGTCGTCCACGGCACAGCTGCCTACGACTATTGTCTTGCTCACCTATTCTTCCCATATCACGACCAATAGTTCTTATGAGTGTGACCCTTGTGGAATTAAGATGATCTTAGCAGCGCATGAACAAGATAGCAGAATATCATAAATGGAGCCTATATTGGATATATCTAATCTTTGAGTATGGTAAGGGCGAGACAGAAAATTAGAAGTAAAACTCTGTCTGGTGCAATTGTCCATCCGGGCGCTAGTTCTTCCACCTTCTGTTTGCTAGTTTTGCCTGCTCGCCGCCTCCTATGGCCACCTGTCATGGCCCTATAAGCTTGGAATGCCGCAAATCATAAGGCATTTCGATAGCGTCCAACTCTGGTTCCATCATTTGTCGGTTAGGTTATATTCAAGAGTGCTCATTCAACAGTGGAGTTATGTGATCTTAGAGTTTGTTGCGCGTCGAGGAAGGCCAAGAAAAGGCGCGTAAATATACCCGAAGGGTACATCATCACCAACTGCAACTTAACACAAACTATGCTAGCATAAGCTCTAGTAACCGCTCGAGAACATGCTATGATCCATGGAAATATGTGCCATCACACATGGAGGCACGCGTGCGGCTATATTTACGCCTAGTTGTGGCAGTGATTTGCTACTTCGAGAGCCTTTCATTGGGGAAGGCGCTTTAAGAATTGTAGTAGTAAGGTAATACGACGTTGTAGAGTCCTTTGCGAAATCCGGCGCTAATCGAAACCGATTAAAGTGGCCTCCAGGGCGTTGGGAGTGAGTAACATGCACTTCCTCTGATTATTGGATAGCACAAGGCGATCCCGATCTCAAAAATCCTTGGGTGGCCGCCCTGGTCGGCAGTTGAAGGCGCAGTTTCTGTACCGTCGTAGACTCGCCGTATCGCGACGATTATGCCCCTGCTTTTAAGCGCCCGGAGATCGATTAACCCTGGGCTCTCTTCACATTTGCCGTCGCCTTTAGCATGACTAATTTTGCCCAATCTTTTTGTTGCACATCGCAAATTTTGGCCATCATTTTGGCCACGACCCGTTCGTTCAGTGTAGGTTTTTATTACACATCACAAATATGTGACCATCACTTCTAGGCCTTGGGCACGACCAATCACGCGAGTCCTAACAGTTTTGTTGCGCATCGCAACGCTAGTTGGCCATTATTTTTTGACTATGCCCTTGACCAACGACCCACCAGTTCGGCCACCTCATAGATTGGCGGCCATCGACGATCATATAGGCGTCGACGGAACTTCTCACAATTGTGCGACATGCGGCTTGTCGTGTGGTCCTCGGCGGTGCCCCACCTCCGTTTCTTATAGGCATCACACTTTGTAGGTAACGATCCCCCAAGATGAGAACACGTAGGTCACATGTTACGCTGGTTATTAGAGGCCAGACGGGCGATGAACCCTACACTCAAGACCTACTTACAAAATCAAAATACCCATCTGTCTCGTCTATCTTCATCGTTAGATAGATGGCTTGCCGTAACACCATCTTTGACGGCGAAGTTGACCTGGCTGCAACGTGCTAGTTTACCCCAGACCAAAGCGACCTCCTTCCTGAAGGCCAGGACCCATAGCTGGCTAGGTACACTGTCACACTGCTTTATCTGGTGGCGCCAAATCCTTGTGAGCCCTCGCTGACTTGCACGACAGATGACGAAGCGAGCAGCAGAACTCGCTTTAGTTCGCGAGAGATATGGGGAGACTGAGGCATCATGTAAACGGATTGCCCCTCCATCCACTCCAACAAAGCTCGCTCCGCCTCTTTACATTGCCTCAGTTAAGGAACTTGCAAATACAAGCAGTACCAGAGCCAGTGCTTGCGCGACTGGCTTTGACAGCGCGATAATTCGGCGGATCAGGAAGTGTCTGGAACGTGCCAACCACACCGGCACGGTGGAGGCGGAGGCCAAGGCAGCGCTCTATCTAGCGTCACGTTTGATGGGCCAGTATAATGTATTGCAGGCCGACGTCCTCTCCCATGAGCCACCTGCTACTCAGAGACAATACGCTGGGCAAAGCGTGGTGTCAATTAAGCGCACCGACGGCGATAGGTCCAAAGCAATGAAGCATCAGAGCTATGTAGACGGTCTCTGCCATGCCATGGAGCGCTTCTTTGACTGCAAATCCTACTCAACTACCAACCTCTTCGCCTTAGAATTGACTTTCTACGGCATTACAGAAAATACTGCCGCCGCCGCCATGGCCTTCAAGATGGTTTACAACTTGATTAGTGAATGGGCTCGGCCTTACAAGGGGGTCGGGTGCAAAAACAGCTATTGCCTAGGGGTCTCCGACGAGCTGAGCAGGATGGCGAACAGAGAGAAAGCAACGGAAGAGGCCGAGGCAAAGAGGGCTGAGAGAGAGGGCATCGCGACTAAGAAGAAGGCAGTTGACAGACAGTTGCAGATAGGCCCTCCAGCTCCCCACCTTGAGGCTTCCAACAAATCTGCGACTCCCGAACCAGCCGATGCTACAAGCAGTATCGACAATGAGTCTCCTCCCCCCCCATATGATGCTTCTAGCATAACATGGTCGGACTGGGTGGCAGATGGCCTCGGCGATGGCGCTGACCCCGAATTCACTGAGAATGCTTCCGAGAGTGCTGAAGACTCTGTCGAACCGGATGTCAAGGTGGAAGATGAATATAGCGGTAGTATTATCGAAAATCTGGACGAAGACATGAGAAAGTTCATCAAGCTTGAGAACCTCTCCTCTGAGGCCTCTCTTCGAATGCATTCGCAATTACCGCCTCATACAACAAGTCTCGAGCTCACTCTTCCTCCGGGATGTGACCTTGCCATCAAGATGGAGCCAATGTCCGGCACACTATCAGGCCCAGACAAGGTCCGGGGTTCGGAATGGGTATCGCACATGCAGCTCGTTATCTTTCGTGCGGCAGCGGCCAAGATTGCAGATGACTATGTTGAAGAGAAAGGCATCAAGATCCATCACCAGTCAGCCAGACGCACCGTGATACACAATCGGGCAGCCTATAGCCAAGGGGTCAAGGATAGCAAGAAGATCGATGTACACAGGAGGAGGATAGAGGAATGAGACACCGCGCTGGAGGTTCTGACCATGCGTCCCTTACAGTTATCCCTTCGACCATGCAGTTATTTTTCAGTTATTTTTTATAGTGTTGAATCTTGTAAGCCTATGTAGAGCTATTTATGAGTGATACGGGTAGAAGTAGAAGTCAAGTTATATGTGCTTGAGGTTTTATTATGCTAGAATAATGAAAGCCAATGCTTCGTTATGAGCGGAGAGATTACTTGGCATGACGGGACTGATGGTATATTGCGATAACTCCCTGGTAGGTTGCTCTTGTTTCGTCTCCGTTATGTAGCCTGTCAAAGTAATAACCTTCCCGTCATTTCACTAATCGCCTTCCACGGTGTTTGTAATCTTCTCCATTCATGATATTTTCATTGATCTCAATAATTATTTGCTATCCGTTGAACTCTGTTCGGGAACTAGGATACATAGATATTCGGTAATAGCTAACTATAAGACTATGATGCGACACCAGGCGTCTCGGGGTCATTCTATGTTCTCCTATCCGTCCCTTTTGCGTGGCTTGCGCCTTGCCGTCATTTTCTCAAGCTCTTCTGGTAGTACATGCTTCGGGAGTGGGGATACATGTCCCTGTCTCCTGTCAGCTATGAAGTTGGGTAAATAGGAAGAGTGTCAGCTACTATCTCGGCCAATAATAGCGGCAGTGCACTGCCATAAGTCGTATACTTGTTGTTTCTCTTCAGGATTATGGCTATGTCAACACCATAGCCTTCTATCTCACGAGCTTTGATAAGCAGTGTTTCTATTCTCCTCCTTGAATTTCCATTTCGGCGCTTTGCAGCGAGGCTAGCCTCACTTAGCATTCTCAAAGGTGTGTCGTAATGTAGAACAAGAGACAAAAGTATGGATGCAGAAACTGGAAATCGGAGGCCTCCTTGCAAAGCAGGTTCCAAGTGGTTATAACACAGAGCATTAAACGTGTTTGGACTTGAGACCCTCAACTTTACTAGCTATATAGTGTATTGCATTTAACTAACGTGTTCGCAACCTTACGTGACTACATGTTTGAACCGTCACCATAATGATGATTGCCTCCATTACCAAATTGATGACCATTCTTAATCAAATACTGTTCTCATCACTCCTCATATGTGGGTAGTGCGAGCGGTGTGGCACTAGTTTAGTGGGTATGCAGCACTTGGGTGACGGTATTCACGGCCGGCAGATTTATCGGCCGCCGTAACGACCCACCTTTGGGTTAGAGCTGCCTGTACGGCATCCATCATTCAAGTTATGGCCCATCAAAGTTGGTCAAAGGGTGTAGAGTGGGTCGGCGGTTCAAGGGCCAGACTTTAGTGGGGCGTGCAACGGAATTTGGTTGCCTCGCTGAACAAAAATATATAGCCGCAATTGCCTCGTCCTTCGTCACTCCGTAGTGCCATTGCACTCACTCGCTGAACTGGTGTGAGCTCCCGCGCAGATATCCGGGCGTCCAGTGAAGTAGGTTCTGATCATTCAGACTAAATTGCGCTGAGCTGGTGTCAGTCCTTGGCAAGTCACAAGACAACCGGGCGTCCAGCGAAGTAGGTTCTGATACATCCAGACTAATTGCGCTGAACTGGTGTGAGCTCCCGTGCAGACATCCGGGCATCCAGTGAAGTAGGTACTGATGTGTGACCCTGGCTTCTCAGGAAGACAGCCAGGCATTCAGTCTAATTTTCGCTGAGCTGGTGTGAGTCCTTGGCAAGTCACGAAGACAACCGGGCGTCCAGTGAAGTTGGAACTGGTGTGAGATCCTTGGCTTCTCGTGAAGACAGTCAGGCATCCAGTGAATGGCCAGCAAAAGTCGAACTCCCACCTGTCCGTGGTGCTGGCTACGAACCTATGATTATATTTATATCATAGAGCCAACGGGAGACTAGCGCAAATGATGAATCTAGAATGTGCGGAAGATACAACACCGTACTGTATACAGTGACATTCGAAACCAGCTTCAGTCTTTACTCTATAATTTGGCGAGAGATACTGTTAGCATATCCGTACCCATGTATAAGTGGCTTAGCACATTACACGTGATAAGTACACGGAGGTAGCGTGGTATGGACTGGTCCTCGGCTTAGATCGACATTCCCTGACTAAGACTGAGATACGACAAGACAAAAAAGGATATAACAAACGTGATGTAGAACTAAAGTGAGAAGAGCTAGCAAAGGATAATACACGTTTGGTTATAAACATTTGTGAAGTGGAAGATGGATACATGGAGATGGATGGATGGATAAAAGGCAAAGACAAGTAGTGGTCAGGTGGAAGTAAAAGAGTTGCCTTCTATAGGGTTGCTAAGTTAGCATTGCTAGGGCACAGGCACTTAATAAACAAAGGATTCCCTTTATAGAAATAAGAGGGCAGAGTTCAGTCTATTTTGCTATATAGTTATTAAGATAATCCGAGCCTCCCTATAACCTTTATAATCCTTATACGTTAAAGAGTAAAGCTAATAATCCTACTTTATCACAGTTGCTCTATTGTATTGACTTAATCACTCTGGATATTACTATCCTCGACACATGGTATATCGGAAATCTATAATAGTATTAGAACTATCTAGTGTTATATTCTCTAGTAAGTCCAAACGATAGCGCTCTTGGGTATAGTAGACGGGCTACGAGCTATAAGTCTCAAGGATCCAGAGTATCTCTTATTTTGCCCTAGCGGTAATAACTTATAGCTTCAAGAAAAGTTCGATGACATCCCCCGCTATATATTCCGGGTGTTTACCCTGAAATCAGGGGGTACGACCAACAGGTCCTAGGCAAAATCAATGGACGCTAGGTACAGTACTAAAAATAGTAAAATGGATATTTTCACGAGAGAGGATAAGGAGCAAGTGGTAAGCATACTGAATAGATATCTCCGCTAGTGGAAAGGCGCTAAGGATAACTTAGTCTTATAGACTAGCTCGCTGTTATTTGTACTTATATATATATTCCACCTCCATGCTAATTCCACGGATAGATTGGATTTTGATAATATTTTCCTTTGTATTATCAATACAACTAAGTTCCCTAAAAGCGTTTTCTTTCGATATATGGACCTTATTTAGGCCTATTGCTTATTTGATAATCACCTAGAGGACTTCGTAGGTCTTCGATTGAAGAAGGACTTTTACTTTGGCGAATACCTATCGTAAGGAGTACTAAAGATTGAAGACAAATACTAAATCGTTTTAGCTCAAATAATAATCAATTAAGGTTTATATGATTTGCGCCACGAATTTAAGGACTTTATATACTAGGAACTTGGTCTAAAACCCTATTGGGTATATCCAGTAATCGATCTCCGTAAGGACCTATACCGGGCTGATAGTCCAGAGTTAAGCAAGGAGAAGCTATAGATAGCTATTAATATCATATAATCTTTCCAATCACGCTAGGCGCTGCCTGTAATAGCTAATCTTATAATGTTATTTCCTGGATTAAAAGAAGATATCGCTATTATATAGGCATTCAGAACAAGCCCGTTCACAGGTTCGCTTTTTTTCTTAAGAGGAATAACCCAAACTGCTGCGTCGGTCGGAATGGATTACAACGTCAACGGGCAAGCTTGTGGTGCCTAGTACGACACTACGATATCGGTTGGAGAATGAAGCCGCATGCCTCGAATACCTAGCTGGTACTTGTATTCCTGTGCCAGCTCTAAGAGGCGTCTTTCAAGATGATGGCGCGGTCTACCTTATGACTCCATACATTGACGGTATCCCCATGTCTGAGCTAGATCCTGTCGACAAAGAAGTGGTGATGAAGGAGCTAGAACAACACATCGCTACTCTACGGTCATTGCGATCCAAGACACCCGGTATTCCGGGAACATCAATTATCTGCCCTCATTACCGCCTCTTTAGAGGATGGAAACCTCTAAGTGTTTGGAAATGGAAACCTAAACCGGATATAGAAGAGTACGTCTTTTGTCACAACGACGTCGGGCAACACAATGTCCTCGTTGATACGAAGAGTCTAAAAATCAAGGCAATAATCGACTGGGAGTTTTCGGGATTCTTTCCGCGTTGGTTTGAGGCAGCTTTGTGGAAGCAAACCGGGTCTGCTCCTACAATTGGCGATGAAGATCGACTAAGGGCATGGTTAATCGACAACTGGTTGCCCTACTATTGGAACCTTCTATTTACCCACCATCACAGGCTCACCGCCCATGACTTAGTTAGTGGCTACTCTGGGAATTGCTTCAAAGGGTTTAAAACCTTTGATATGGCCAAAGACTACTTAAAACGCAACGGGTGCTTTACTTTTTACATTCTCGAGGAGCCGGCGGACGGCCCCAAACCTAAGTCTAATAAAAGAGCCCCCCGATCATCATACTATGCAGTGGCAAATGGGAGGCACGTTGGAATATACTCGGACTACAAGTAAGAGCTGTGGCATTCGCTTCAATTGCCTATAACAGGCAATACTGACTTTGGGGACAATTAGAACAGGAGCAGAGCCTCAGGTCAAGAAGTATAGCGGTGCCTGTCATAAATCCTACGCAACTTTCGAGTCTGCAAATGCGGCCATGCAAGCACGAGAGCAAATCGAGTACCGAATCCCAGTCACCGATATGGGAAGTGACACAACGGATGAGGATGAGATCGTCGCTGGAGTAAATAATATGACTTTAGAGACATAACAGAGCTTAGGTTGATCAGCAAGATTATTTGATTTTAGATCTCTTCGCCTAATAGTTGCAATATTATCTCGGACACGTTTTTGATACTTTTTACAGCCCGAGGCCTGTTTCATCACAAGAACTTTTCTTCTGGACGTACGAAGGCTTCATGCGAGCCGTAGGCTAGCACTCTCGTTTATAATTCGCCGAGATCTTCTCGCTAAATAGTACCAATACAGTTAGCTTCATGCAACCCATGCATTCCTGATTAGCACATAACACGTGAGAGGTACATTCAAGTACTAGGTACTTCCATGCTTTGTCCAGTGGCTGCCATCGGGTATTTATCTTGCGGCTCCCTAACCTGACAGGCTGGGAGGTCAGACACAAGAAATGCTAATCGTCAATGAGTGCCTGGCCATTAGAGATCCTATGGAGCCTGTGTTTCTTTGCCCAAGTTCGACTGGGCAACATGGCCATTTACTGGTTAGCGCTAAGCGCCTGAGGCTGGAGCTAAGCAAGTTGTTTGGAAGTTTCATGTCCAATCGAGTTACAACAAGATCTAGCGGAATGCCCCCCTCGCATCATTGCGGTCTAGCGTGCCATAGCTGCCCCTGTGGCACAAGAGAAGCGATACGCCATTATCGACAATGTGAAAGCGGTTCAACGACGTCGCCAAACGTCTATTTTCGTATAATGCGGCGCTAATCGGACGTACGATTATTCCCTAGGACGAATTAGAGTGAAACCCTACTATTTTTAGAAGCCTTTAGAATGTATAAGATTGAACTCTAGGGAACTCTTGCAAGTAAATTCCTTTTCCTTGTACCCTATATTCTCAAGTTTATTTCCAGTCTCAAATTGGGGATTAATCTATAAAACTCTTTGAATACTAGATCGAAAAGACTAGCCTATCATGTGTTTTGGGCAGAAAGCTGACGGTCACGATGCGACCTTTCAGCCATATCGAAAGCCTCAACAGAAAACCTCGCGTAAACCAGTCATTCCTGATGCAACCTTTCATCCGTATCAGACAGAGCAACCAAAAAAATCAATATTAGGTAATAAATTCACGTACCAACATCCGCGACGACTACTAAGCTTTTTATTTTTTAGTTAAAAGCAAAGACAGGGGACTGTTTAGAAATCCGAGACTATTCAAATAAGAGACGTGCTAAACCGGAAACTTGGTTATCATGTCTTGCCAAACTATCGGTGTATTATCTTATTGAAAGGGGCAACGCTGCAAATCTTGTTATGGAGCATGTCCCAAGAATTAAGTGACAGGGACGACCTTACCAATAGTTGTCTAAGCATACAATTAAATAGAAAGTACACTCAGACTCTATGGCACTCTATCCATAGCTGGCTTCATATGTGGGTGGGGTTCAGTTGCATTCGACAAAACTTGGGAGGCTCCCCGGGGATTATTTGGAGATGAACTTGAAAACTGGCTCTAGAATACGGATGGATGGTCGAGATTCAATTCCCCTTGATAATTGTGATATGCTCTCTAGCTCTATACTAGATTTCCAAGCTATGCTTAATAATCTTACTCTGTATTTCTTTATATCAATTGTTTTGAAGCATTATTTATAGATTTTGATTAAGTTACCTTGGAGCCGTCTCCTATTAGCCGAAGCCTGATTATTCTCCCGTTATTAATGCCTCGCTCGGTCTCTCCGTATTCCTTTGAAGCCTTGTGCATTCTGAAGCCATCAGAAAAATGATCGGCACCGATTATATGATTCAGAGTATAGGAGTGAATCCTAGCTCAGGAGCCGCGGCACATATGTATTTATATCTCAAGGGTGGATTTCTTCAAGGGCAAGAGGTAATCCAGGGGTAGATGCAGGGGAGACGGGAATTTTCGGACTGGGCTTAGCAGCCCGCTAGCCACATATTAGACCTGCAGTGATGTGCAGGATAACTAACACGCTTTGATTTTTGTCTAGATACAAAGGCATAACAGAGGAGTCTACTATGCCTGGTATAATCCAAGCGCACGCGCAGGAAAGTTGTAAGGATTAATTCCCCACCTATTATACAAAGTAATCGTTAAATATGACTTGATTATCAATCATTAATAAACTTATAGTCCAATATATTTTAAACCTCACTGATTCTATTTCCCGTCACGATCTCTTTTATTAAGCCTCCGACGTACAATGCGAAGGGCCTTGTACTGTACTGTATGCCCTTCTCTCTTTATGATCCTATAACTGCATTCCTTAGCTATAACTTCGGATATCAAATGTATAAGGGGTCGAGAACGTAAGAATTCCGTTATTCCTAGAGCCTAGATCGCATACCGTATGGCGAGGCGTACTGCTAGAGAGCTGCTATCCTGTATTACTGTAACAAGCAGGAATGAGGCGCGCATGGACATAAGGTACCCTCGTTAGTGCTCATGTTTGGATATTTGGTTAACCCATTAGATTCTGATAGGCTATATCTGCTCTCGACTATGTCGTACTCGTTGGTCTCTGTCTGGAAAGAGTCACTATCCAATTTTATATATTCATCTATATGCCTTGTCATCATGAGAAAACAATCCATATTCTGTAGGGTTAAATCTTACCATGGCTTGATCACAGGATTTTAAAGAGGATTCTATGCACTGTGAATAAAAACCGATTTATCTGCTGCCACTTAATCTTTTTACAAGGCCTGAATATCACGCACGTAGCAATAATAATGGAGAAGGATAACTAATGACAATGACGACTAGTAATGGTGACCCAGGCTGATTGCGATGGGAGTTAACATTATCCAGGAGTGCCTTCGGGCGGAAGGGAGCTTGTCCCTCACGAAAGCGAGGGGTGTGCTGGGCATAGTTGCTGGAGTAGGGAAAATTCAGGCCTAGTCTTTAAACATCTGGCAAGATGAAGAGAATCGCAGTTGGACGAATCTGCAGTTATTCTATCTTTCATAAAAGCAAGGGCGAGCGTGTAAAAGTAATTTGTGGCTGCGGGTAATGCTGGAACTGAAGTGTAGTTTATGTTAATGATATTTGAAATATTCCAAACTCCTATAGCTTGATCTTATTTGCTTATCATGGGGCCACGATTCCCTTCCAGTCTATTCGAGGATTGTAAATAATACCTCTGTCCATACACAATTAGAAGGACTTAACCAGTACCTCATTCGATATTGAATATATCTAACAATCCCTTTTCCTTCAAGTGTAGCTCTCCATCCACAAAATCCCAAATTAGTTGCCTACACACCGGAGAGGTTGTCTGAGGCATCGGCTCTGCAGGCCAGATCCTATTAAAATACCTCCCACCGCCCTCCCCTCCCCTCTTCACAGTGGCGCACGCCTTCGCCGTTGCCGCCCTCACAATCGCGAGACCGCCCTGTTCCGCATCGACGCCGAAGACACTAACAACCCTATTTAACAGCCTATCCAGAAATTTCAAAGGCTTCACCTCCGTGCCACCCTGGAGAGGTGTCCAGATCCCTGTGTTCACGTATCCTGGGTGGATGCCGTTGATGGCGACGTGGCAAAGGGTGGGAGTGGAGGAGAGTTGGGATTGCAGCTCTGTGAGCCAGGTCTGAAAGTAGAGCTTGCTGTGGGAGTAGGAGCGCGGGTCTGCGGTAGTGTTTGCGTTCGAGAAGTTAAAGGTCCCGTAATATTGCATGCAGGAAGTTGTGCACACAATGCGGGGATCTTCGGCGCGGGCAAGTGATGGGAGGATGTGCATGGTAAGGTAGACGTGTGCGAGGAAGTTGACCTAAGAAGCTCATTTAGCCCTTCTCCGGAGATATTACTCTTCAGAGGTTGTTATTTACCTGGTGGACAAGCTCGAATCCATCTTTAGTTTTGGTGAGTTTGCCACTCGCTGTTTTACCCATGCCAGCATTGTTAGCAAGAATATCGAGAACATGACCAGTAGACAGCCAGCGTTTTGCAAATGCCTCGACAGTAGACAAATCAGCCATATCACAGGGCCACCATTCGATTTTCGACGATTCATGGCCCGCTGACCGGGCTGCGGCTATGCAGTCTGCCACTGTGACGTCTGGGTGCTTCTCGTGGGGAGGAGGCTGGCGACATCCAAGAACGATACTTGCTCCACACGATGCGAACCGTAGGACGGCTTCCCTGCCAATGCCATTGTTCCCACCTGTGATAACGATCCACTTGCCACGGAGGTTAGCATCGGGGAGTGTAATGTAGCTGCCCTCCAGACCTCGAGCTCCTTGCCAAAAGCGCCAGAGCCGAGATGCATCGGGGAGTTGTGTGTTATGGGCAGTTGTCATTTGACGGAGGTATGGTATCCCGAAATTGAATCCCGAAAGCAAGAGAAATGCAATTAAGGTAAATATATATCTCGGTGGTGATACCGATACAACGTGCTGTCAGGGTACTCGGAGCTCACATCAACCTCCCCCCGGGGTATGATGAATATATTTTTTACATGGAGATGGGAAGTGTAAAATAATACGCTGTTGAAATAGAAAATGTACCTGGATGCACGACGCCGCGCGGGCGAGAGCAGCCAGCCAACTTGGCTATAGGCTAATCTACGGTTAACTATTATCTTAAGCATTAAGTGGGCATAATACGGCTCTACAATTGCAAGGACCAGCAACTAGTTAATGGCCACACATAACCAGGCCATACCTACCACTCCCAAGCACATAACTCCCTGGCAGCTATTATACAAATTATTGCACTGTCTGCAATATGATGGCCATCACCCTTAGGTGGCAAACCAACCAATATCGTCCTGGCACCCACTTAGTGATACAGCCCACCATAGCCCACCACGGATGAATTACCACCTCCCTGCATCATCACCGCCTGGCAGCTATAGGCTCACATAGTCTTCCGTCATCTAAAGTACATAAGGGCTTTAACATACCTACTAGTTAAGGCGTTTTTCTAATATACTTGACAAAGTAGCACACAACTAAAAGATTTAGTCGGCAACTATATACCGCCCCCTACTAGACTTAATGACTTAAGATTAAACTAGAGGGATGCTACCTACTGATCTAGACGGCGTTACTCCGGATTTCCTTACTACGATAGAGCTAAAGACGGTTAGTGTTACTTTTATTCCTCTCTTATCTTAACTACTCTAATAGTTGTCCTAGGCGTATAGCTACCTACTCTATTAGTTATACGATAAGAATATTATCTAGTACTATAAAGACAATCTAGAGGCCTGTAACGCGCTCGAGGTAGCTATTTAAGAGAGTACCTACCTAACGCTCTAGCCTAACCCTGCCCTAGTAACTTCTAATAGCGACGTACCTGTCGATACTACTTCTGTAGCCTCCTAGTATAGTACAGAAGAATACGAGAATAGCCCGGACAACACTAGCTAGAATACAATCTGTGATTAGAGCTTACCTAGTATTAGTACTTAGTACAAGAGCCTCTTCCTTAATTATCCCTACTAAGACATATTAACTAGGGAACAAGGAGTTAGGGATAGAGGATACTAGGTAAACTTAGAGGATAGAGAGGATTCTATAAAGGAGTAGGCGAGGGTTACTCTAATCGACTACAGACATTAAGCTTTAAATCTCTTGACAAGACTACAGTCCTAGTCCGTCGCTATATAGGAGTGGTATAGATATAACATTACTCTATTAACTTCTTTAATATATAGTAGCTACTAAGTGATTTAGATCGGTCAGAGAGGCAATTATGTAGAGCCTAGGAATTAAAGAGGGGGTTTACAACAAGCTAATATCCCTCTTGTCTATCCGGGACGATAATTAAGTACCTAAATTAGCCGTGTTACTTAGTTACGAAACTCGTGCTCTGTTCTAACGTGTTTTTGTAGTGTTATAAGTACCTCTCCTACTATATAAGATATCAAAAACTTAGCTAGTCAAGACTCTAAGCTTGTTCTAGGCGGCTACTAAATAGTAAGTAGACTAGCATGTATTTAGAGTCGAGGCAGTAGAGGACTTTGATGTCTCTTAACTACGTTCTATCTAACACTATTAAGGCATCCTCTAGTTCTAGATTTCCGCCTCTAAGTAAGGTTAAACTTAGTAGATCCGAGTAGATAAGCACTAAGCGCGTCTAAGTTAAGAAGATACAGAAGATACATTAGTTTATTCTTTAATAGAAGGTATTTAGCAGAAGTTATTAGGTAATCGTATAATTCTTTAAAGCGTTAATATGCCTATTCTCGTCTATTTAAACACGATATATTTACCTAGAACTAGAGTAAAGTAGAGATTAATTTGTGCCGGAATAGAGTAGGGGTTAAAATAATTAAGGGTGACCTTATTAATAGCGGCAGGCTTTGGTTAGACACGGGCACAAGCATGTTCTTGTGTGGCAAGGGCCGCTTTAGAACTATGCCCCTAACAGCAGCTCTACGCTGGAGGTAATCTCGACAGCAAAGCGTTTAATAATGTCACGTTAAATTCTGATAGCTTTACATATTAACGGCGAGAAGGATAAAGAGCTTTAACGCCCTATACTTACTGCCTTAACTGTACTTTAGCTCTCTATTAATTTGTAAGGGTACCTTATCTAATCTGATTAATACTAACATTACCTAATAGAGGAGGAATTTCTAAAAACCTAGAGTCTACTATAGAGAAGTACTGTAAAAAATTTACTAAGGTACTTAAAGCGTGTAAAGGCATCTTATGTAAGTAGGTATGCCGGACTTAAGGATAAACCAGATGTAGAAGTACGAGAGATCTATACAGGCGTAATAGAACGAAGTACCTACACGTAGTAGTAATTTTATTCTTAAGATGTTTCTACCTCTTTACCTAGTTTGTTAGTATTACGAAGGTATTGTAAACACGTAAGGAACTATCGTTCCTCTTATACGTTATTAAGAGACATTATAATATGTAATAAGTTTATTTTTAAAGAGAGTTTTGTTAAAGCTAACTCTTGGCTACCGTATCCCTTTCCTTTAAATAATGCTACTATATTATTTTTTTGGTTTTACAAGAGGCGGTGTAAAGACGTTCTGCCCGGCTGCTCTATACTACGGCTATCTATACCTTAAGCTTGATATAAAAGTCAAGAAGGCAGGGATTAGAAAGACTAAGAACCCTTAATCTTAGTATTAGGTAGTAATATTTTTACGTTTAAAATTAGAGAGGCGATAGCTAAGGACGAAAGCGATTAAGTACTAGTAGTAGCTACTTAGGGCAAGAAAGCCCCTCTAAAGTTAATTTAGTACTATTGATTAACTCGATCTAGGATAAGATTACTAATTAGAGTAGAAGTTAAGTAGTAGGAGTAACTGTAATTAATGTTAGGGCCGCGCCCTCTACAAGTAATTTAAAGTAGTTGCTTGGCTTAATAACGGAAAAGGAGCTTCTTAATAAGGTCGGCGAACATTATAAAGGCGAGTGACGCTATCTATACTCTAGACATCGCCTTGCCTCTAGCTTTAAGATCCGTGTAATAGGCGGAAACAGCTCGCGATAGTTAACTTAGGCGATATAGCTAGGAGATACAAGTCTAGGCCGAGTTTTTACGTAATCCTTACTATACGCTCTTATTAATTACTAGGTTGTAAGTAATGTTAGTAAGAGCAAACCTAGACAAGTGTATCTAAGGCTTCTCTTTAATTGTTCACAAAACATAATGCTGGACGTGGAACGTAGTGACTCTAACGACTACTTAGCTAACGACTACTTAGATACATTTAACTGAAAGCTTTCCCCTCTACTGAATGCAGATCGTATTTTGCGCTGGTTAGACACTACCTAACCCCCTCCCCCTAACTTGTGTAGAACAAAGGCTTCTAATACGACACTAACTGCTTTTCTTAAAACAAAAGAAAAACATTCGGTCTATTGGCTTTTATGATGTGACAATCTAGACATTAAACTAACGGCTAAAGAGTAGCTATCTGATAACTGTAGGTACACTGTGTAGTATGCTTGATGTACTATAGTCTACGCTATTCTAAGCAAATGATTACGGCTGTCTTCTATAGTAAAAAGAGGGATCGAGGCTACTACTAAGCTAAGGCCGCCTACATCGCTCTACTGTAAAGAGAAAGTTAGTAATCCTTAGAGGTAGACAACACGAGACTACTAGTAGTAATTAGTACTTACGTTAGGTAGGATAGGGCTTAGTACTGCGGTAGAGTATAGGCGGCTAGAGTATAATAAAGTAGGCTATATAGCGAGTAGAAGAGTAAAAGATGTGAGTATAGTAGTTACTAGAAAGATCCCGAAAGTGTAGCTATAGACATTTCTTTAATAATTAAATTTTAGACCTTACGGGATTAAAAGAGCTGTATCTACTTAAATAGTACTTTAGCAAGTGACTGCTATACTCGTGAGCATTGCTCGAAGGGCAGACACTACGGTAGGTCTTAAACTTGGCATAATCCTCGCTATCTATGTTGTCTAAGTCCGAGAAATATTTACACTCGACATAGTGAGGCAAAGGTACCTCGCGATCTCGTTTGTAGTGACAGGACATTCTTACTGGCATTGAAGATACACACAATTTATTAACGCCCGGCGGTTTGCTAAAAGGGCAACTATTACTAATCTATAATTACAATTCTTAAACTAACTCTATGTCTCCTTAAACCCCTAAATTTTCTACTTCTAGCTTATATTCTCTCTTATTTGTCTTTCTACTACGGATTCTCGTAAGTTAGTATTTATTAGTAGGCTAGCTTAAAGGCTATTCTCTAAGTGTTTAGTGTCTTATTATTAGTGGCTAAAGTAGTACTTACGGTCCTAGTATAAGGTAATTAGTATTAATAGGGTTAGTAGTTATAAAACAATAATATATCTTCCTAAGGTTAATTAGTGTTAAGTTAGCCTATAGTAATTATAAAACGTATTAATACACGAACTACTTCTATATTTAACGACTAGTTATTATTATCTAATAGTAATCTCCCTCCTAGATAGAAAGATATATTACTTTTATAAATATCTGTATATTAGAGTATCTCTAATTAATATACTATCTACCTAGTATATTAAAAGAGGAAGTGGTCTATAGTCTCCCTTACTTACCTATATGTACATTAGCCCGACTCTATTATATTAATATAGTAAAGATACCTATTTAATTATACTATACCTATTTAAAGCTAGGCTAATACACTAGCTTCTTTCCGTGTTAGTTAATTATATAACTATCACGTGTATTAGCCTAGGAGTACTATATTAACCCTTTTAGAGTGTTTTCTAATGTTCTTTAGTAGTGTTTTAGTTATATCTTATTTAGTTTATATAATCCTAAGGGTTATAAACTACATATTTAATAATTGTATTTATAGTGTTACTCCTTATTAGGTCGCCGTCTTTGCTTTCTCTTTAGTAAGCTTTAGGAGTTTATTCTCCTTATATAATAGGAGCTATGTAACCTTTAGTATATTTCCTTCTAACTATAGCACTCTAATAGTCTTGTAGAAATAATAGACCTATTCTTAACTAGACTATTACTAGGGTTTTTTAATTGTAAGTGCAATAGACTTACTTCTTATTAGTAGTATAATATTCTAGTATTTAAGCCTTATGTAACGGCTCACGGTAACTACTAACGTATAGTAGCTTACAGCTTGCTGAAGGTTGTAATCTG